CTTGAACAGGCGTCGATGCTATGGAGTGAAGGTAAAGCAGTGGAATTGATAGATCCAAACATTGTCAACAACTGTCCCGTACATGATGTTCTAAGTTGGATTCAAATTGCATTACTTTGTGTCCAGGATGACCCTGCACATCGGCCTACAATGTCATCAGTTGTTATCATGCTTGGTAGCAAGTCAATAAACCTCCCCCAACCATCAGTAGCCCGATATTCTGCATCGAAAGTTCTTGCAATGCCTGATTATTCTTCAAGCAGTGGAGGAAACGTGGGATCTCATATATCCGATCAATCTACAACCAACAGTAATACCTAGTTTCTTTTTTAAAATAATGTAACTTTAATTAACAAGTTAAAGTTGGAATTGTTGTTAGAGTTGTGGCTTTGAAACCAGCAAAAGTGATGAAATAAAGCTGCCGTGAAATGGCTGCAATGAAGCTGAAAATTGACAGCTAATCAAGGTGCAATTTGACAGCAAGTTCGCTGCATTGTTATCTTCATTCTGGTAACAGAAAATTGAAATAGCAAATCATGAAGATGATGCTGTGAAACTCAAATGCAAATGAAGTTGAAGGCTTCAAGTTGGTGGCTGTCTTCTACTAGTTTTTGATGTACTTAATTGTTGCCTTTTGATGTCAAAAAGTTGCTCAGACAAAACAAAAAACATTAAGTAGAATACTTTTTGAATTGTTTTTAGGTTGCTTTTCTTAATAAATAAAGCAGAGTTTGTTAATGAGAAATTTAAGTTTTAGTGTTATACTCTCCATTTTCAGTTTATGTTGTACCTCTCTTGGTTCCATTTTGTCTCCTTTTTGAACCGTGCAGAAGAATTAACAATTAAGACATACGAGATCAAGTATTCGCAAAAGTTTCAGCTAAAAATTGCTCCTAACCGAAAGTAAAGATGTAATACGAGTGGAAATAAACATAACTTCAAGATTTAACTTGAATTGACATGAACATTGAAATTGAAAGAACATAAACTGAGTTTTATCTGGTATATACCAACAAACATGGACATAAACATAAAGCGTACATACTGTTTTTTCAAAGAAAAATAGCAACTCAAACATGACAATTACTAAAACATGAGGTAGTTAAGAAACTGTAAAATAAACTACTACACCATGAAGTGTGAATCACAAATTTACATAAAGAAAACTACTACATAACATAACTATCATAATAAAATTAAAAGACTTGATCTCAGTTGCTTCAACACTCCTCCTTGAGAGCAAGTCTGGTAACTCCAAGCTGCTCTTTCAACATTTCAAACCTTTGCTTTGGCAAAGACTTTGTAAGAATATCAGCAAGTTGAACATCTGAGCTACAGTGGAGAAACTGAATTTGCTTGTTCTTAATGTACTGCTTGATTACATGATACTTGACATGAACATGCTTAGTCCTTTTGTGCTACACAAGATTTTGAGCAATTGCAATGGCTGACATATTGTCCACATAAATCAAACTAGGACCAAGTTGAGGTTGTCCTATATCAGTCAACATTTTTCTCAACCAATTGCATGATTTGAGGCTTCTACAGCTGAAATATATTCAGCTTCAGCAGTAGATTGAGCAACTACATCTTGCTTAAATGAATTCCAGCAAAAAACACCAGAACCAAATTTGAATAGATAACCAGTAGTACTTCCTCCATCATTTAAGCTACCAGCCCAATCACTATCAGAGTACCCCACCAAAGAACCATAATCAATTTTCTCAAACCAAAGTCCATAATTTGAAATGCCATTCACATACCTCAACACCCTTTTTGCAGCAGCAAAATGAAGTTGAGTAGGAGAACTCATGAATCTAGATAGAAGACTAGCAACATAAATGATATCAGGCCTTGTTGCAGTAAGATAGAGCAAACGGCCGACTACACTCTTGTATTATGAAGCATCCACATATGCACTTCCATCCTTCTTGGACAATTTTTCATGCAAAACAAGTGGAGTAAAAACTGGTTTGCTATTGTCCATACTGAATTTTTTCAAGAGATCTAATGCATATTTCCTTTGTGACAAGAAAAAACCATCATTGCATTGCTTAATTTCTAGACCAAGAAAGAAACTCATTTCTCCAAGATCTGACATTTCAAAGCCTTCTTTCATCACAGACATAAAATGCTTTACATACTGAATATTAGAACCAATAATTAGGATATCATCAACATAAATTGAAACCAGAAGTTGTACATCACCATTTGTCTTTCATGTATAAAGTAGCTCCGTTTTCACTCCACCTGAAACCTTGCTAGTAGGCATCAATCCTACTATACCAAGCCCTAGGAACTTGTTTCAGACCATAAAGAGCCTTGTGAAGCTTACAAACCATATCCTCGCTACCATGAACAAGGAACCCCCCCAGTTGCTTGACATAGATTTCTTCTTCCAAAAAGCCATTAAAAAAAAATAGATTTCACATCCATATGGTAAACCTTCCAACCATTTTGAGTAGAAATAGAAAGCAACAGTTTGATAATATCATGCCTTGCAACTAGTGCAAAAGTCTCAGAAAAATCTACTCCTTGTGCTATTGTGCATATCCCTTAACCACTAATTTGCCCTTGTACTTGTTTACTGAACCATTGGGATTAAGCTTTGTTCTAAAACCCATTTAACCCCAATCACATTCCTACCTTCTGGTCTAGGACAAAGTGATCAAGTTTTGTTCTTTTCAATCATAACCAGCTCTTCTTTCATAGCTACCATCCACTCATCATGTTTTTAAGCTTCAATAAAACAAGTTGGATCATAAGTAACCAAATTGTAGCTAGCATACACATCTTCAAGTGACTTTACCTTCAAAGGAGGTGAATCATCATCAGTTTCAACAACATTTTGGTGTTTAGAAGTAGAAGCTCTACTTTGTTTAACATTCAAGTCTCCATTTAACTAAAAAGAAGACTCCTTAATAATTTCTGATCATCCCAGCTCTAAGAAGCAGATTCATCAATTAAAACATCTCTATGCACTTCCACTTTTGAGACTGCAAATTGTAAATTCTGTATCCCTTTGACTTTGCTGCATAACCAACCAAAATTCCCATCTTAGCTTTCTCATCCAACTTGGTTCTTTTAGCTGCTGGAACATGCATATAACACATAGAACCAAAAACCTTCAAATGATAAGCTAAAGGCTTAAGTCCAAACCAAGCGTCAATAGGAGTTTTACCTTCAACAGCTCTAGTTGGAAGACCATTCAGCAAATAAACAGCAGTATGCACTGCCTTTGCCCAAAACTTCTTAGGCAAATTCTTCTCAAAAAGCATGGTTCTAGCCATTTCCATCACCATTTTGAGAGAAAAAGTACAATTGATGATTTATACCATGCTTCCAGCCATTTCCACCACCACTTTTTCTCTCAAAAACAACATTTTGCTGCGGTGTATACTTCACTGTTAATTGATGATTTATACCATGCTCTTCACAAAAACACATCAAACTCCTTGGAAGTATATTCCTTTCCATTGTCTGACCTCAAGGTTTTAAGTTGGTAGCCACTTTTCTTCTCAACTAGCACTTTAAACTTTTTAAAAATAGAGAATACTTGTGACTTGCAAGATAAAAAATACACCCAGGTGATTTTAGTCAAATCATCAATAAATAAGAGAAAATATTTGTTTTGACTAAGAGAACGTGTGTTCATAGAACCACATACATCAGTATGCACCAATTCAAGTTTTTGACTTGCTCTCCATGCCTTAGTTGTAAGAAAAGTTGTTCTCTGTATTTTTCCAACTTGACAGCTCTTGCATACATCATTACTAACATAAATTTTTGGTAAATCTCTTACAAGTTGAGAAGATTGCAAAATTTTCAAAGTTCTAACATTGTAATGACCATATCTCCTATGTCATAGGTCATAGGCTAGTCTTATCTTCTTTAGAAATTAGAACATGTTGCTTAACATCACTCCAGAATAGAGGGAAGCTATTATCAACCATTTTCACATTAGCAACCTCAGAACCATGCACATCAAAAATTTGGCATACATCTTGTTTAAAATGTATAGAATATCCATGCTTCATTAATTGTACAACACTAAGCAAGTTTTGAATCAAACTAGGAATGTACAAAACATTAGAGATAGTTTTAATACCTTCCTTAGTTTGAATTGAGACATTGCCCTTGCCACCTGCTTGCACTACATATCCACTGCCAAGTCTGACTCTTGTTCGAAAAGACTTGTCTAGCTTCGTAAATAGCTTCACATCTCTGACCATATGATTTGTACAGCCACTATCAACATACCAAGAATCCTCTGAAGTCACAAAACAACTATGCATAGCCATAAACATATAATCTTCCTCATTCTGATCTTTTGTGAAATTAGCCTACTACACTTGCTTAGGCTTGTACTACACTTGATTAGCTTTGCAGAATTTTTCTGTATGGCCATGTTTCTTGCAATTCTTGTAGTAAAACCTTGGCTTTCCTTTGTGCCAACAGTCTTTTTCAAGATGATTTGTCCTCCTGCAGTTTGGACAAGAAGGAAATTTGTCTTGCTTGTCAAAATTTCCAGAAGATTTAACTTGTTGTTTACCTTTTTCAACTTTGTTAGCTTCCTGCTTCCAATCTAATCTTGCAACTGAATATTTCCCCTTGTCCATAGCTTGACATGCTCCTTCGACACTTTCATCAGGTCTCATTGCAAGTCTTTTTTCGTGAGCTTGTAATTTTCTAGTGAGTGCTTTAATGGAAAGCCTGCTCAAGTCACAAGACTCTGCAATTGTAGCAATTTTAGGTTCAAATCTATCAATAAGACTAACCAACATCTTGTCAACCACTCATGAATCAAGAAATCTCTCTTCCTGCATTCAAATTTGAATGACCAAATCAACTAATTTTGAAGAACACTGATGTATTGTATCAGTTTCCTTCATCTTCAACATTTCAAATTCTCGTTTGAGAGCTAATAGTATCACTTTTATCTCCAGCACTCCCCCCATACTCTTCTTTAAGTGCTTCCCATACTTCTTGTGCATTCTGACAGGACACAATTTTGGGGAAAATATCATTTGCCACTGCACTATATAGAAAAGAAAGTGCTCTGTATGTACCTGCCTCATACTCTGCGTTTCTTTTCAATTGTGCCATTGTTGGGCTTTCCTATAAAAAAGGAAGTTGGAAACCATGCTCAACGACTTCCCAAACATTATTCCCTTTGAGGAAGGCTTTCATTCTAATAGCCCAGAAATCATAATTCTCTCCATTGAACATTGGAGGAGAAGAACATGAATTTGTTGAAGAAGAAGACATTCTGAAATGCTGTAGAAGAACAAGAATCTTTCCCTCACTTGTCACTCATGTTTCACTCTCTCACACCTTTCTAAGATTTCTCATAGATCCCTCAAGAACTATAAGCTCTAATACCAATTTGTGAAAGTAAAGATGTAACACGAGTGGAAATAAACATAAATTCAAGATTTAACTTGAATTGACATGAACATAAACACTGAAATTGAAAGAACATAAACTAAGTTTTATCTTATATATACTAGCAAACATGGGCATAAACATAAAGCGTTCATACTGTTTGTTCAAAGAAAAATAGCAACTCAAACATGACAATTACTAAAACATAAGGAAGTTAAGAAACTGTAAAATAAACTACTACACCATGAAGCGTGAATCACAAACATACATAAAGAAAACTGCTACATAGCATAACTGTCATAATAAAATTAAAAGACTTGGTCTCAATTGCTTCAACACTAAGTGATCCCAGTTTTCACCTTCAACCTTGCATAACTGAACAACATCCAATGGCTACAGGCCTATAGCACCAATACAAACACCAGGACAACCATAGTTATGTCAATTGCAACTCCACGTGAAGAAGATCTTTGAGCACCTGTTTTGCAATTAATAGCCATAGTTCAATTTCATTAATGATTTACATATTGCAAGTATAACTTCAAGATCAAGGCAAAACAATGATTAATGTAGTTCTGTAATTTGCCATCATTAGAAGAGGTGGAGATGTTGAAATAGAACTGATAGTCATGCCTCTGAGCATCCAAGCACTTGCTGTAGCTAGCTCGACTAATATCCCTATTGCACTGGACCATACCAGACCTCCACCCGCTATGTCCAACATCCGGCCTTCCAGCCTGAAGCATCAGAGTCTGATTTGCAGCGACAGCTGCAAACTCGTTCATGAAGTCGAACCCTTGGGATGCAACAGATGGGTTATCAGAGTCGGTGCAATTGTATATTGCTGCTGAGGATTTATCCCCCACACTAAAGAAAGGCTGTTCTGAATACCGGGGATAGCACCATGTGAAACAAACCTTAACCGTTTTGCTCTTGGGGCAATCCTGAACGGCCACAGTTATGGATTGGTTTGTGCAGTTAGCACAGTTTGCTGCAGAAACATCCTTTCTACACTGCACAAGACAATAAACCTCGTCTGACTTCTCCCCTGCTGTGGTTTTGTAGAATCCACTGTTAGGCCCTTTTTCAGCCAGCTGATTCAGAAAGTTGTCAAGATTGGCCTAGAAGGGGTTTTCAGATTTTGAGTTATCAGCTTCTGAACATTCCCAACCGGCACGCACATTGTTTTCAGCAAGACAAATGTTCTGTAACAACATCAAAATTGAGAATAGAATAAAACTCAACACGTTCAGACCAATCATCTTCATATTCTATATCAACTCTAGTTTTAGGAGGAAGAGTAGAGAAGGAATCTGTATCAATGAAGAGAATAATGCTAACCCAAGTGTTTTGAATGTAAAAGTCAACTCTCAGAATCTGATGTCTGACATTTTTGTTGTAAGAAGCAATAACAAGTAGAAGTCAACCGGTTAAAAAACTGCAACTAGGCAGCTAGTTCATGCACTTACTTAGACATGTGGGTTTCGTTAACATGCTCTAAAAAGAGACAATTAGTTTGGATAAGTACAGAACAAACTGTCACGTGTGATTAGATGGAAAAGCACACTTGCCTGCACGAGCTTGTTGCTATTTTTTTATTTTTTTCTTGTTTAATGTACCATCTATGACCCTTTAAACACAGAACTTTGATGATGGGGTTCAGGCCGTTGAAGGATCAAAAGACAGTAAAAGCTGCACATATGTGGCCTGCAATGTTGCTGAGCCCACAAAAAATGACTAAGTGGGTACAGGCAGCATATACCGTCGGTGTCAGTACGAGGATTGGTTGGCTTCAACACGTAATGTCATCATTCTCATGTCACAAAAAAATTGACTGAATGGCCCAAGACAACCTCGATGTTCTTACAATTTCCTTGCATTAGATAGTTTCACATTTCCGATTTTTAGATTAATGGTTATAGGGCTGTCTTCTGCCTATATACTAGCAATCAACTAGGCATATTTTCAACCCCATGTCCTAAAGAAAGCAACCCCTTAAAAACTCTTACGTAGTCCGAATGGCGTTTGTCCAGGGCAAAACTTCCGTAATTGATACAATCTTCACTTTGCTGAGATGCAAAATTTATTAAAATTTCATTGCAAATAATGATGATGATTATAAAATGGAATGCAGATTACAGATACTTGAAATGGAAAACAACAATGGATGTTCGGTTCATCTTGCCATGAAAAATGCTTCCATCTTCCTTTCTTCCCTTTTGATCCAGAGAGACTGGAGCATTTATAGGAACGTAAGGAACTCAGTTGGACATTTACCTAAACAAAGACAACGAATAATGAAACAATTAGAAATGACAAAGCAGTAGGCAGTTGACACAAGTGTCTTCAGTACTGTGTCTGTTTGTGAGGCTCAGAAAGTACAATCCATTGACCCCCATTACTTAGAAGGTCAAAAAGTATACAGTAGCTGGTCAGTGACCTCCATTTTTGCACATAAGTTATTGAATTGTCTTTAGCTTTATAAGCCATTAAACCCCGCAATTTGGGCATTAAGACTTCGTTAACAGTTGCCATAAGACTCATGATACTACTAAAAAGATTATGGGAACATAGTGAGTACATAAATAATACTTGTGCGCTTATTTTAACACTATGTACTCTTGGTAAAATGTTGCTTATATTTCCTAAAAATGTTGAATCACAGTGCATATTTGTCTCCAAAATGTATTAAACATGGACACTTCTCTGTTAAGACTAATGTTTTCAGCTTCAGTATAACGGCTTTGGATATTGTGAGTGGTTGAAAAAATAGCTCTCCTTGCCATATTGAGGATGATGAAACCCTTATAAGCTCAGTAAGTATACAAGATTAAGATACATGAAATTTAACATTTTAAAAGATTAGTCACGTGTAGTTTGTACTATTTTCCATTAATCTTATTTTTGTTGCAAGCATGAAGAAACTGGAGCAAAGGGAAGCCACTAAATATTGTAGATCCTAATTTGAGTGAGAGTTCAACAGCGCAAATAATGATGAATGTATCCATATTGGATTGCCTTGTGTGCAAGAAAACATACTACAGAGGCCAGCCTTGTGTGCAAGAAAACATACTACAGAGGCCAGCCTTGTGTGCAAGAAAACAGACTACAGAGGCCAACTATGGGATCAATTGTGGAGATGCTAACCAAAAATTATATATTTCTCCCAACAACCTCACACCCTGCATTTTTAATGCACAAAAGGTTTCAGCTAGACATGTCATCTTCGCGTGAATACACTCAATCTAGTGATGACCATACCCTGCCTTCAATAAACCAATTTTTAATTTCTGAGCTAGATCCAAAATAACTGAAATTCTATGACTGATACTTATGTAAATAGTATGAATTTATGGTCATTTGCATTTCTTATGTTGAGTTGCTGAATATTTATATGGCTACCAACTGTGAAAAGATAATATTTCCCTCAATTTATTCAATGAATGGAATACAAGTTCATATACAAGAGTATGCTAACAGCAAGAAAAACATAAAAGGAAAGGGAGAAGATGATCGTTGGCAACGATAAAAGGAATAAAGGAAAGAAATGCTACTGTCGTGATTCAAGGGATTAGCCTTGATCACTGGACAACTAATCAAATAAATCTATTTACATGAAATCCAACACCCCCCCTTCAAGTTGGAGCATGCAAATTTGAAATGCCCAACTTGCGAAGAAGAAGTTGAAATTGGTCTCCTCCAAGAGCCTTTGTGAATATATCTGCAAATTGAGATTTGGAGGGAATATGACAAGGAGTGATGGCACGTGATTGTATCCAATGACGAATAAAGTGACAATCCAATTCAATGTTCTTTGTTCATTCATGGAAGACTGGATTTGATGCAACGTCAAGGGCCGCTTGGTTATCACAATATAGCTTCAGAGGCTTTGAATGATCAACTCCTAAAGTGTGCAGTAAGGCTTTGAGCCATAGAAGTTCACTAACAATGGAAGCCATGGCCCTATACTCCACTTCAGTAGATGAATTAGAGACTGTGGATTGTTTCTTAGTTTTCCAAGAAATTGGAGATGTCCCTAACATTGTGACATAACCAATTGGGCAACTAGCCCAATCAGAATCACAAAAACCAAAGAGTTGCAGTGAGCTTGAAGAAGATAAAAAAACGCCTTGCCTTGGCGAAGACTTTAAGTAGCGAAGTACTCTCATTGCTGCATCAAGATGGAGTTGGGTTGGAGCTTGCATGAATTGACTAAGTATGTGAACAGAAAAGATATTTCTAGGTGAGTAATAGTCAAATATATGAGTTGCCCAACAAGTCGTCTATATTGCATGGGGTTTATGAGTGGGGAGCCACCATCAGGAATGAGTTTGAGCTTTTGCTCCATTAGAAAAGAAGTAGGTTTAGCACCTAGCATCCCAAATTCAGATAAGATGTTGAGGGTGTATTTTCTTTGGCAAAGAAATCCCCGAAGGATGGCGAGCAACTTCAATGCCGAGGAAGTACTTTAACCTTCCAAGATCCTTAATGTGGAATTGAGAATTGAGAAAGTCTTTCAAATGCTGACAAAGTGTAGAATTGTTTCCTACAATGATTAAATCATCAACATAGATGAGAACCGCAAGGAAATTGTTCCTTTTTCGGTAAGTAAACAAAGAATAATCACATAATGATTGCTGAAAACCAAAAGAACGTAAAGCAGAGGTAAATTTTGCAAACCAATTTCTTGATGCTTGCTTGTGTCCATAGAGGGATTTTCTCAAGCGACATACTCGTTGATCTCCTTTGTTGCCATATCCTGGTGGTAGTTGCATAAAGACTTCTTCGTCAAGATCACCATGAAGGAAGGCATTGTGCACGTTGAGTTGATGTAATTCCCAATTTCGAATTGAGGCCACTGCTAAAAGACATCTTACTGTAACTAGCTTGGCCACAGGGGCGAAAGTATCATGATAATCAAATCCCTCAACTTGTGTAAATCCCTTTGCTACTAGACGGGCCTTATATCTTTCAATGGTGCCATAAGCTTTGTATTTTATTTTGTATACCCATTTGCAACCTATGGGTCGTTTATCGGGAGGAAGAGGTTCCGAGGTCCAAGTATGATTTTTTTCAAGAGCTGCAATTTCATCTTCCATTGCTTGTCTCCACTTTGGATTTTGAATGGCCTAAGAAAAAGATTTCGGCTCATCTTCATTGGAGATGGCAACTAGAAAGCAATGGTGAGGCATATTGAATTTTTCATATGAAATAAAGTGAGAAAGAGGATGTCGTGCACTTGGGACTCTTGATGATTTTTGCACTTGAACTCCATTTCAAATATAGTCCGTTAGATAGGATGGCTTCTTTTTCTAACATTGGGGTCTTGTTGTTTCCTGGTGAGAATTAGTAGTATTTGTGATATGACTGCCTTCTACCCCCATAATGTTCATTCGATTTGTGCTGGACAGTTTTGTCTGCTTTATGGGCTCCATCGGATATTGATTCAAAATGTGGCTTATGCACATCATTAGGCTTTCGATTGTCGGAGCGAGTCAATGTGGTGTCTATGCCTGAATTAGTGGTATCCTTGCTGGAGTGCAATTCATTTGTATTTGGAGAAGTTGCACCATTAGTGGCTGGAACATTTGGTGCATGATCAACAACTTGTATTCCTCCGTTACTTGTATCATCATCACTTGATTTTGCATTTTGCATGGCTGTTCTCTTCAAGTGGGCGATCCAAATTTGTATTTGGAATGGTCTCAGTGTCCTCATCATAATATGATGGCAAAGGAATGGCTATTGGAGCCTTTTCATTAATAGGATGGTTCCCTTCATCCTGCAATGGGAAAATATTTTCATAGAAAATAATATCATGAGATACAAATATTTGTTTGGTATCAAGGTCAAAGACCCGATATCCTTTCTTACCATGAGGGTAGCCAATGAAAACACATTTTGTAGACCGAGAGGAAAATTTGTCACTAGGTAGTGATGATTGGCGAGCATAACAAAGGCAACCAAATGCAACCAAATACTTTAAGATGAGAATAGGTGGGTGACTTACCAAAGAGAAGTTTGTATGGTGTCTTACCATCAAGCAATGGAGTAGGAGTATAATTAATTAGGTAGGCTGCTGTGAGAGCACATTCCCTCCAAAAAGATATGGGCAAATTTGCTTGAAAACATAAAGCTCGAGAAACATTCAAGAGATGTCGATGCTTTCTCTCAACAACTTCATTCCGTTGAGGAGTATGTACACATGAAGTTTGATGTATTATCCCTTGCTCGAGAAAGAAAGCCTGCATAGAATTAGAGAGAAATTCCTACCCGTTATCTGAGCACACTTGTTTGACTTGCAATCCAAATTGATTTTTAACCATATTGATAAACATGATCAGATATCGATAAGTTTCAAATTTATATTTCATAAGAAAAACCCAAGTAGCACGAGTATAATCATCGACAATGGTGAGAAAATAATGTGCCCCTGTATGTGAAGGGGTATGGTATCTTCCCCAAATATCACAATGAATAAGAAAGAAAGGTGATTCAGCACGTTGATGATTAATTGGAAAAATACTTCTAGTTTGTTTTGCTCGATGACAAGTATCACAACATTTAGGAAAAGAATTAGGGTCAAAAGAAATATTTTTACGTAATAAAGATAAACGATCAAACGATGCATGCTCCAATCTTTGATGCCAAAGCTCCATGGAAGGTGAAATTGTAGCATTCAATTTTGGGGTCTCACTTATTGGCTTGAAGTAATAAAGGCCATTGTGCAATTCACCTATTTCAATTAGTTTCTTTGTAGTAAGGTCCTGCAAGACACAAAAACTTGAGAAGAAAATCACAGTGCAATTTAAATCTCTAATGAGCTTACTTACAGATATGAGATTGCATGTAAAGTTAAGTATGTATAAAACATTTTCAATGGTAATATTGGGAGCTAAAGAAACTCGACCAATACCATGAATCGAGACAAGGTTCCCATTGGGAATTTTTGCATAGTTTTGTGTAGAAAGAGGATGCAATTGTTCAAGATTATTTTTATAACCTGTTACATGATCAGATGCATCACTGTCCAAGATCCAATTTCGTAGGGTCAAGAATTTCTTACCAGAAGCATTATTGAGACAGGAATGTAAGTTCATGAATTCCCTGCAAGAATCGAGAGGAATTGTACTAGTTGAAGAATGTGACTGATTCTTGCTACCAATGAAGCTGTCCAGAATTTTGGTTGATTCACTTTCAACCAGGGTGCCGGCTGCAAAAGAATTTTTGGAGGATCAATTTTGCTCTGATACCATGTGAAAAGATAATATTTCCTCAATTTATTCAATGAATGGAATACAAGTTTATATACAAGAGTCTGCTAACGGCAAGAAAAACATAAAAGGAAAGGGAGAAGATGACTGTAATTGGCAACGGTAAAAGAAATAAAGGAAAGAAATGCTACTGATGTGATTCAAGGGATTAGCCCTGATCACTGGACAACTAATCAAATAAATCTATTTACTTGAAATCCAACACCAACTTAGGCATTTGTATTTGAATGAAAGACGGCTGATAAATCATAATCCAGCATTGAATTATAAATGAATTAAATGCAGAAAATGTATCAAGAAGGAAAACATCCCTTATTCACAAAAGTTTAAAGTAAAATTACTCTGTTTTGGATATACTGATTTAACCAGGGGAAAGGAATATTGATGACCCAAATTGAAAGAAGAGGATGCATTTTATGGGTTTGAGGGTTTTTTTTTTTTTTTTTTTTATAACATGAGTTTGAATATCCTTTATATTTAAATTAATAAAATTTCATTTCTTAGCCAATTAAAAAAAAAAAAATTGACCCCAGCTTTGATCTTCAACCTCACATATCTGAATAACATCCAAACGCTATAGCACCAATGCAAGGATACCACCACAATTATGTCAATTGCAACAGCTGTTTGGAAAAGAGACTTGGGGACACATTTTGACATTCTTTTTTGGCCCCCTGGTCTTTTGAAAATTTTTTAAATTAATCCACAAATTGTTTATATTATAAATTTTATCCTCAAATTTTAATTATTCACCTAATTATTCTTAATATTTATAAAAATAATTGTCATTACACTTTTGTAAATTTTATAATTAAATTCAAAATAGAATGTTAACATAACAATTAGTAACTCTATATGGTTAATTTATCAAGTATTAAATATTAAAACAGCCTTTTAATCTCTAATTTTTCTGTCAAAAAATTGGTAAAAAAATCTTTAAATTTTTAAAATTTCTCTGCACTTTCCTAAAAAAACCCTTGGATCACCATCTTTATGGTACTTAAAATTAGTTTTAAATATTCATTTTAATTACTAATATCTATTTTTTAAGTCAAATATTAAAAATTTACTTCTAATTCATACTTTTTTATTAATTGAAATCTATTTATTTTATTTTATCATTTACCATATAAATTTTTGATATGTTTATAAATTTATTTATATTTTTTTAGATATGTTTTATTATATATTTTTTCAACAAATAAAATTATATAACCATTCACTAATCATGAAAAATTATAAAAGACAGTATATTTCACATTCAAGATGACCAAGTTTAATTTTAGACACAAGTTTACAACTTTACAATTATGTTACTCCCTCTGGTCCTTTTTACATATCTAATTTTATCAACTTTATATTAATTAACTTAATACTATAAAAACAAACTAATGAAAACTTAAAAAAAAAAGGTTTAATCTAAATGAAAATATTTAACAAAAACTATGTTCACAAAGAAAAAAAAATTTCAATTGTCATCTATTTATTAAATAAAATCAAGTCAAAATTTATGCGAAAATCAATTTAATACAGCTAAAATAGTTCAAAGAAATAATACTTTAATTAAAAATTTAATTTAAATGTCAACAAATTTGCTCTCATCATCTTGAATCCTAACTCCACCACTTTTGCCAGCAATATTCTATCCTTACAACTCTCTAGAGAGAGAATGATAAGGTGAAGGAAAGTGTCCATGAGAAATTTCTTTACCTTATGAAGTGCGTGCGCATTTATAAATCCCTTGGACATGGGGTGGAACCAAGACAAGTCCAAGTCCAACACCGAATAATCTAAAAGAAATAATAAAAAATATACATATATATAGGCTGAAAAATGGCATGGAGCTAGAATTTTATATATATATATATATATATATATTAACTTCTGGAGATGCAACCAGGCATACTGCGCCATTCCAATTCTATCATATTAACATTCGAATACGAAAATAATAAGCTTTCTTTCATAAAAAAAGGGGATCCATTTTATAATACAGTAAAAGTCAATAACAACAAAGTCCAACCTATTGACTTTGAGAGTGTTTGTTAAACAACCAATGTTTTTGTATCTTCTTCAAGTTTAGCGCATCTTCACAACAGAAACTAATCATATGATGGATGGATCCATTGTATGATGCCCGCCATATTCATCTTCAACCCAAAATGCACATTAAAGGTCCCTTGCAAGCAATTATACTGCAAGGTAAGTTAGGTAACTAAGTGCCAGAAGGAATGATGGAACGAAATAATTAGCATAATACCCAAGTGTGCCCAAATTCTGAAGCAAATTTTGATAGTGATTGCTACCTTCTTTTCAAAGTCCGCTTCCTAATCCATCTTGATGGAATTCAAGAGTGATTATTCTCTAAGAAATCTTCACATTTCCAACTATTGTAAGTGGAAATGCAGTGTTTCGTGAGAACATATCTTCATAGGTTGGCTACACTCGATCACTGCTTCATTTAGCATGGGTTAGCTTCTCCAAGAGAGTAAAAGCACCACGCATGCCATGCAGTCAGTCACCATGACAGTCAACAAGATTTGCATGTTAGATATCCAGTTGGCAGTGTCAAGCTATGACACACTATAGAAACAACTTATGCTATCATCTCAATCTTGACAATCTTTTTCTCTTCCTACTCCTGCGTGCATTCTTTGAAATGGTCTTGGAGCTGGATGGAGGAGCTTGAATAGAGGCTGGTATCCCAACAAACGTCCTGCCTTTCTTAGATACCCATTTCAATGGCATATTGTTTACAACAGCACCAATGTCATTTGAAGTAGTCAGTTCCACTAGTTGTTTAATTTGATTGAGCATCTGGTGAGTCCAAGCAACCGACTCATCTAATGCAACTGAATCATCCATTGGCTTTTTCCAGAGATCCACCAATATCTCTCTGAAGGACTGATAAGACATGGAAGGTTGATAGCCCTCACAATTTTCACACATCATATTGACCTTAATGAAATGCTTGCAAAGGTTGCCTTGCATAGACCATGCACAATCACAGAAAGCAAATTCTGATCCAGGGTTCCAAACTAAATGTGTTACACTACTTTCTTTCTGGCTTTCTACCTTGGCAAATTGGTGATTCTTATCATCCAAGGTAACGGCAGAATCGGGAATTTGTTGTGCGCGATGCCACGATGTAGATGCAATATATTCCTCCTTAACATTTTGAAATGAATCACTTTCATCTGCATACCGGTCAAGCCAATAGGCTGAATGCAATTCAGTGGTGAGCTTGTGAACTAACCAGTCAACTCTTTGAAGTGCACCAAGATGTGAATCATCAAACAATTTTGCTTTAAGCTTCACGTGGTAGGCTTCTATGGCCCCAGATGCCTCCTGACTTGCAAGTGGAAGCGTTCTCATTGTTGAGAGCCACATTTCTATTAAATCAGAAACAAACAACACAAGAAATAGAATTTAGATATGAACACCTTCATAGATATCATGTGGTCATGTCTGAATGAGTGAGGGAGATCAAACCTATCTTAGGCACCCAAGATGCCTTAAAATACTCTATGAAGGCAGTTTGATCAACAAAATCCTGAATGAGGTCTTCCAAAACAACTGAAGGATCCACTCCACCCCAAATGCTGTGAACTATTTTGGCCAAACATTTGAAAATCTCACGTTGAACTTCAATGTTGGAGCATTTCTTAACAACATTCCTCAGCCATGATCTACGAACACGCCAGAGGGAAAAGAGGACTGGACAACAAAACAATTCTTTGAAAGATCAACTGAAACCAGAAGTAAGAAAAAAGAAAGTATCGTACTTTACTCAAACCAAAGATTAAAGTAAGAACACCCTGCCTTATGGGATCAATCTCTGTTGCAGCATCATCAATCAAAAAACCACTGATTTCCCATCGCTGGTCTACACCAAAGATTATCCTATTTGTCCTTTTAAATCCAAAAATGTATGCGAAGTTAGTGGCACATGCAATGCTTGTTTATATTTAGGTCCCATGGACTTTTATTATTTTTATGAGCTAGTTGAATTACTATTCTGACAACAACAATAGGCCTAAGTGCATTCGACAAGGAAGATAAGAATGGAAGTATTGAAAAGCCATGAACAGAATTTCTTTGGAATTGAAAAATTCAGCGTCAACGAGTAACAATGGTATACTTTTCAATATTCATCAATTCGAAAGACGCGAGAGGAAAAGCTTTGACAAAAAAAGAAACGGAAAAGTTAGATATTAATGTTGATGGAATGGTTGACGGCTAGTCAGTGGTAAACGCATTGCAGTAGGTATGGTACTGCTCCTCATTTCATTTAAATGGTGTTGGGCCTGAACAAATAATTGTGCACGGCCCCGTCATATTTTCTGCAATGCAGACCCTCCACGGCTACACCATTTAAGACAAAACTATACGTTACGCCCACTAACTTACCCCATTTTTGCACACAAGTTCTTAAATTATTTTTATTCTTGTAACTTAAAAGCTCTTAAACCCTACAATTCGAGGATTAACACCTTGTCAACGGTTGCCCTGAGTTCTCATGATTTCCTTGATTGAGAGTGAGGTACACGATTAGGAACGTTGAAGGGTACTTCTCTAGTTTGGGAATAATGGTTGCAAAATGAAATTTTGGAAAGTCTTAACTTAAAAATTTATTAAATTTAAAACTTGATGATTCAACAGAAGGCCAATGAGCTTAAACTGCAGACTTCAGGGACCGACAAAAAGTCCAATAGCTAGTGGCTGAAATTGAGGGAACTATAGGAACTTTACATACGATTTTGTTCCCATTGGTGCTGAGAAGCTTCCACTGAAAAACAGAGGAAGAAAACCACCAACCGATTGAGGCGGCCTGGAACTTCTACATATTGTAATAGTACAAAAAATCAACTGATATGCAGAACCTGTTATAGAGTTGCTTTTATGATAAAAATTTTAAAATTTTTATATTTTATGTTTGAAAATTTTAGGACCAAATATTTACCTTTTTGTAAGTAGTATTAAATAATAAATTTTACAAAATGTAACAATCTATTATATTTTTTGTAAAACTTGCTATTTTAGTAATATTTTACTTAAAACACACATTCTCATCAAAATATTTTAAATTCAAGGAAAAAGAATTTTGAAATTGTTGCAAGACAAATGATTCTGGAAAAAGTTCTGCCACGTCAATATGCAATTTTCACCTCGGTTCTGATTGTACTTTACATGACTACATGTCATGTAATTTTCACTTTAACTCCAATCGTATCTCATTGTCATAACTCAAAATTTTAATAGAATTTTATTTTTATTTTAGTTTTATTTTTATATTTTAACTAATTTGATTTGTCTTTGCTCTTATTGTTAGGTTTATGGGTCAAAAAGGGAGTTCGTGAAGAGATTGGAAAAGAAGATGAGAGAAAGGACTCAATTGAAGAAATGGAAAGTTAGAGGGGTGAAATGCAAAGTTAAACCTAAAACCCAAAACTCAAACCCAATTACCCAAAAAAACCACAATTTACCCAAAGTCCACTCCAAAAAAAAAAACCGAAGCCCACTCCAAAAAAAAAAAAACCCTAAAGCGTACCAACTACCCAAACCCAAAATCCCAAAACAAAACCCAAAACCCAA